GATCAATTTGATGTGATGAGGGAACATATGGAGAACTCGATTTCATTTTCCGATATAATTTCTTATTATTCGGAATAATTCCTGATAATTCCATATGCTCTTCAGAATGACCGTCACATTCTTCTCAGACTAATCCTCTTCAGTATTTCCTAAGTACTCAAGTACTTTGCCAAATACCTTTGAAAGTCTCCCAGAAATTGCCAGATTTCTTAAAACTTGATAAAACCTAATCTTCCATAGAAACATTGGACATAATTCCATTGAAATTATTCTCACGATTCGTATCAGCATACTCCTTAAGTTTCATCTTAAGAATTTTGATTTCTCTTCCGGATTCTAACTATTTCTTTTCTTGCCAAAATCTCCATGCAATTGTCATAAGAGTTTGCAAAAGACAATTTATACCGTCTTCACTTCAATCAAAGGTTGCACAGACTGCATACTTACACTTAACTGTAAACTATTTTCAGAATTACCTTAAAGTTCTGAAATCTAGGGCAATTCAGAATTCCAAAGTATTGCAGACTGCTAAGGTAACTCAATATTACTTCAAAACTCTATTTAAACATCTAATTAATTATCATCAAAAATATCACGAACATACTTTAAAGTCTTGGTGGTTGTCAAGATTCAAAAGCCTTGCTAATTTTCCAAAACTCATTTTTTTGTTTTCAATCCTGAACAGTTTTCGATGTCTCTAAATTCCAAAAATTAGGAAAATTTATCCATATTGAAATATTGATTTTTATAAATCCAAGATTCCAAGAAATGTAATTATAGCCAAAATCTAAACAACTCCAGATAATAAAAAAAAAGCTGGCTCGATATTTTTTTTAAATTTGAAGATTTTTTACAGCCAATAATGTCTCGATTTTTATGATTCTGCAACCCATTACAAACATGCTGTAACAATTCCATGCATGATGTTGCAATAATGTCCAAACGTTGATGGCTTTTAGTAATTAAAGTAGTAAGTTTGGCTTTATATTTTTTGATTAGAGGGTCCATTTTCAACCCCCCCCATCACCCCTTTGTCACATTTTTTCTATGGACCTTAATTGTTTTTGTAAGGTTCGTCACAGTTTCCAAAACCCCCCTAAAAGTGTGACATAATTAATGGACGATCCCTTAATTTCAGTGATATTTATAAAGCAACACATTTTAAAAATCTGGAACATAGGGGAAATGGATGTAATGTCGGCCTAAATGCCCCTAAATTGGGCCCATACATAAATTCAGCAATCGATTGAATTTTCAATAGCGACCAAAAATATCCATCAGTACCGTCCCAATGACGCATTCATCTAGATAAAATTGATGAATAGCAGATTTTTAGCGATGGGCCCAATCTTAGATCCATTGGCCAACATTAGAGCCATTTCCCCTATTTAAAAAATCTGAAAATAAACGTGTATCTGGCAAGGCGACTGAAAATCTGTAAAATCCAGATAAATTTGCAATACTGGCAACGCTGCTGTTACCTCTATATATGCATTTAGATTAACAACCGAAGTCCCTCCTTCTTTACACATTCTGCACTCAAAATAGCTCACCCCTCACATGATTTCCTTCCGAATTATATGAATGGGGCGGGGCGGAAAGTATCGTTTATGCAGAATATGTAAAAAAGGAGGGACTTCGAAACTCGTGAGCTTATTTTCCCACAAATTTGATTTTATTGTGGCTTTCTGGGGATTGGTAATAAAGCAAGTAGAACTTACATGGGGAGAAATCAATTTCCGGGGGAAAAAATGAATGTCCCTGGATTTATTTATTTAGCTTCTCTCAAATTCTATATTGATTTTAACACTTCCACCAGCGTGGCCGGACGATGATTTATCTCACCAATACATTCGTGCCTACAATTCTATACCTTCTATAGACCAGGGCCTTGATACCAAGCTGCTTGCGGGAACTGATTACCTTAAAAAATGTCCTAGTAATACTCTTCCAACAATTTTTGTTGGTCCTGAAAAGGACCGTTTTGTAGTGATGGTTGACAAAATCTGAGGTGGGTGTTCTACACGGATGAGGCTGTCGAGCTGTAAGTTGTTTAGAGCAAGGGTGACACGCTTGGCATAGATGACCCACGAAGAGCTACTGATTCCGATTCACAGCATAGCGGTGCAGCTTCTTCCTCCTATGGTTGCTCCTACGAGCACTGCAGCTCGCTGCTTGCAGGCAGCCTTTCGTTGTTACTGTGGAGAACAATGTTTGCCGAAGCACTCCTGCTGCTGCTGCTACTTTTGCTGCTGCTGCTTCTTGCTGCTGCTACTTTTGCTGCTGCTACTTTCTGCTGCTGCTGCTGCTCCTGCTGATACCGATGACTGGTCACCACCACTTACGGTGATTGAATGTACACCGTTCAGTGAGACCGCATTGAATTCGATTTTTAAGTCTGTGTTAGGGAATGCACTGTTTTCAGACATTCGGTGATAATTTTGATCACCATTGCAAAAGTTGGACATTTATGTAATTTTCAATAGTAACCCATTGAAAATTAATAAAGTGTTCATTTTAGCAGATTGGTAGATAAATTTCTAATCGTTTGGCTTGTTTAGAATTAAAATCTATCTGCATATTATGTGGTCAAAACCTGACCTCTTTTCGTAATGCGATCGATTTTTTGTAATTGCACCCGCAATATGGTTCCGAAATACGTAATCCTACGTCAAAATCATACTTATGGGTCGTGGAGTTATAATCGTCAATGTTCCGAGACTTGAAAGCATTTGAAGGGTTATAAAAAATTACAGAACAATCTATAAAATATTGCGGACAAACCCTGGAATTTTAAGTAAAAATTAAAAGTATTCAAAGTGATGATTTTAAATAAATATTGAGGAGGGTTCCCTCATAATTTTCCAAGGGAGAAATTCTCAACAGAATTCCAGAATTGATATGACATGAAGTCCTTAGATGAATTTAGAGGGATTTCTATGCAGAAGAATGCAAGTTCCAAATTAAACTCTTAAGTAATTTTAGAAAATTTTAAAAGGAGTTTTGAAAAAAAAACTTTAAGGGAAATTCCTACGTGATTCTGAGGAAATGTGAATGGGAATCGTGAGGAAAATAACAGATGGATTTTAAGAAGAATTCCAAGAGAATTATGATGAGAATTCAACAAGAAACAGAGAACCCTAGTGGGAAAAATTCATCACAGAGCTTCAACCGAATTGAATGCAACAATGCAACAAGACACTGCAAATTTGTTTGGACATATTTCGATACTACAAATAATGAATTAGTCTTGGGTGATCTAGTAGAAACATAATCTGATCTCCAGAATGATTTCAGAACCCATAACATCTTGTATACGTAGCAATAGGTCGGGCACGATCCAAATAGACACTTTCAATCTGTTTGGACATATTTCGATACTACAGTCGATTATTGCAGTCTTGGTTGATATAGTAGAACAAATCAATAACTCAACTCCAGGACGATTTGAAGAACCTATAATGTCCGGTATACATGGCAATTACTCGCATATATACGATTCGTTTATGATTTGACAACGAAAAATGCTATGTTCATATTGGAAATAAAAAAAATATGAAAATGTCTCGCATTGGAAGGACCCCCAGGGAATTTCCGTGTAAATCCGGCGTGACTTATGGAATTAAGATCATGTCTAGATTATTTGCAGGGTGTTTAGTTTGAACCGGTAAAAAATTGAAAGCCAAATGAACAACAAAATTGATGATAGCTAAATATTCCGGGACTGAAAGGTTACAATGAATTCCACAATTTGTGTGACAGTACATCATTCTAATCGCAATTTTCGCGACATCATTAATTCTTTCCGCGATTTTCACGACTGAAACTTCAAATCCGCGCCTGTTGTAACAGCCCTGGATTTGTTTTCATCAATGTTCGGTGAAGACTTCGGTGTGGAAATTCTTTCGGGACTGCGATAAGAAAGTTGCTCATCTGCTGCAGGATACTGTTATTTGGCACGGAAAGATTCTGAGCTGGCACTGCCGGATGCGCTGGTTTGTGGAGACTGTTGTCGTTTAACTTGCGGAATTATGACGATTGTTGCCTGAGTTGGCTAGCTGAACTTTAGTTGAGCTAGCTCCCGGGCTAGTTGTTGCTTTATGTTTTGAAAACAACAAAAACAACATTCAACACGACACATGAGCTGTCATTTGCTTTGGAAATAAGCTTTCACTAACACTAATCAAGCTCATGTGTAAAGAGTAATGTGACATAAAAACGATCAGTTCGACGAGTTTCGATTCGGGCCGGCTGCGCCGGCCCAAACCACAAGGAGATGATTGGAGCGTTCATTTTAATTGTGATGTATGTCACGTGGTATATTTTATACAGTTCATGCATTTACCCGATAGTTACTTGACAAATAAATAAATTGTGTATATTTTTACTATACATGGCTTGCCGTAACTCAGTCATATTCCGCTAAAGAGCGGAATAGCCAGCTTAAAAGTGAACTTGTGAAGAATGGTCACATCGTTTTACTAAGCAATATCATTATCAATCATCAGAATTAAATGATAATGAATAACCTTAGAAAGGTGAAAGCAGAAACGATGATTGAGTATGACCGATGTATACACTTAAATTTAATCGGATTTGCAGTTCGGTTTTTGTAATCATTCAAAATGGACATATGTCATATGAGAGTGAAAAGATTTAAAGGATCTGCTGATAATTCAGGGGAATTACCCATGTCGGTTCGGTACGAGACACATTTCTAAATATGATGCGATGCACTAGGTGCTTGTTAAAGGTTATCACCATATGTCCTTAATCTTTAAGGCGAAGTGCTACCAAAGTTAGTTTGGGCAAACATCTTTCATGTTGAATTTGACATTTTGCGCAGGAAAATCATAACTGAATTTAAAACGGAATGTATTTCTTTATTGACAAAATGCATTTCCTTTGTTTTTGTTTAATATAAAAATATGTCGAAAATTGTGTCACATACCCTATTAGAACCAGTCCGACACATAAAACTCAATCACCGTTCATTTCTTCATCCCAAGCCAACAAGATGAGAACTACAATTTTATTACTGGTGATCGTGCAAGTAGTTTTAGGTAATAAAACTTATTCCATACCCAACTTTGAGGTACGATCGATGCTGATAGATTATTAAATGTATGACAAAACTTAAATTTGACACCTTAACTTTTAGGCGAATTGGTACAAAGCTTACGAATATTGTCTTTCCAAAGATCAGAGATTGGCAACGATCGAAAGTGAGGCGGAGAGCGATGCCGTTATTCAGTTTGTCAAAAACTCGGATAAGTATGGCGATAGGATTCGTTTCTGGATCGGTGCCGGTGATCTGGCACAAGAAGGAACTTATACCTGGACGTCCACTAATAAGCTCTTGAAGTACGCGATCTGGGGAAAAAACGAGCCCAACAACAGGTACGGAAACGAGCATTGCATAGAATTATATCACCGCGCAGAAATCTGGCTCTGGAATGATCACGTTTGTGAATACGAATTCTACTTTATCTGTGAATCGTTCACGGCCGTATGTGATAGTAATTAATGGCTGGAAAACGTAGGTTGACTCACAATTAAATGGTAAATTAAATACACGAGATATCATAATGGGAGTTTTAATTTTTGACCGTGCGGTTTTCATCATCAATCGTTTCTATGTATAATGTGTGGCACGGAATGAGTGTTGGATTATCACTCCAGTTAGTCCAGTTTATAGATTATCTTTGTTGAAAGGGAATTTCCTTTAATTAGGTGTCGTAGGTATTCGATTTGTGTCACCTCTGGTTGAATATGGTGTTTTTCTACACCCGTTGATTAGTCACATATCCTCGGCCCAACTTTCTCGCGACGACATTGTTGAAAGTGATCGAGGGCTCCCTGATCGTATATCAAAACCAGGTTTAATAAACAAAGGTAACATTAAATTCACTCTAATCAGATATCACAAGGCTAGAAACTCCCGTTACTAATTGTCTTTGGTCTAATTGCCTTCAGTACCAGGATCAAGTGTTCCCCATACGCCATACGGATGTTAGGCAAACGTACGTTAGGCACAATGCCCGTTAGGCATAAATTCATTAGGCAAATGTCCGTTAGGCATTATATCGCTAGGCATAATTAACGTTAGGCATTAAAGCTCATGCTGTTTGTTAAGTATGTTTTTCATATACGTTCTGCAACTTCTAACTTAGACCTGGATATTTAGCTTGCATTATGATTGTTTATCAGTTTTTATTATATTAATTGCATTGATTATCAGAGCATCTTTCTTTTTTTTCCTTGATTTGTATTCCTTGATTTGTTTTCCGTCGATCTTCTTTTCCGTACTGAGCACCAAGCCGACCGACGCCAGGGAGGCAGCTCCCACACCTGGACCCTACCTATCGACCCATCAACTCACGAACCGGGGACCAACGGCTTTACTCCGAAGGAAGGCGTGATCAGAGATGTTATGCCTCAGAAGGTGCCAACTGGGTTGAACCCAGGTCTGCTGGGGTGAGAGATTATCACACTTACCACTACACCACCGGCGCCGCTTGAGCATCTATCTTATCGATAGGGGCATCATTAACTGAAAAAAAATAAAGAATTTAGAAATCCATTGTTTGCCGAATGGGGTTTTCCACATACCAAGCAGACAGCCGTTTTAACGATTTTTTTGTTCAATTGTTGGAAAAATCAAACGCCAAAAGCTTCTCCATCCATCCTTTAACTAGGGGAAATGACGGCTTCGGCATGACAGACTATTTTCGGCAACCCAAATTGAAACACTATTTTCACTGGATTTTCTCAAGAAAACACTTCGCTGAATGCATGCAAACGATTCTTTATGCTTTCAGCTTCAATTTGACTATATTTTTACCACTGAGAAAAAGCAATCTAGCAGGGTTTTCTTGAAATGAAACACACGCACTACAAATTGTAGCTGATTTCGAGTTGCCGATAATAGAACAGCAGATTTACATGCAGTTCAAATGGAACGGTTGCCGAAGAAAAACTGGTTGCCGACAATACTCGCTCTCACTAGAGAAGATTGGAGCTTTGTAAAAGCGTTTCAAAACAGTTTTTGACAATTCTTTCGACTGAAATTGTTAGAGCAGCTGGCAGCAAAAGATTGTAAACAAACCAATACTGCATATGTGTGCGTTCCTTCGAGAAAAAGGCTATAGAAAGAAGATCGCTGCTTAGGTTGCCGAGAATACGTAAATTCCCCTATCTTACACATATTGGCAAGTATTAAAATTTTGATAACTTGTTATGTCCAAGATATCTAAAGTCCTTCAAAGCCCAGTCCAACAAACAATTTTTTTATAATTTAAATAATCAAACATTTAGCTAGGACATTGAAGCCTTCAATCCTTGAAATCTTAAACATAAAAAATTGACAGATAGTTCAGAATTCATGAAATGTTAAAATTTAAAAAATTTCATCATCCCGAGAACAAATCATGCACAGGGTTTGATGGTTTAAAGATTCTAGAACTGGAATTTTAAATCGAGATCTCAAGCTTAAACCGATCTTCCTGAACCTGGTTTTATGAAAAAATGTCATAAGTTTAAATCATGAAAAAATACATCCTTTGACAAACAAAATAAGGCGCGATCGAAATTTTTTCACATACTGGGTACAGAAACAAATTATCAACAACCACGTCTTTTCAATAATTTATGACATGGAAAGGTTTAAATATTTCCAGAAGATACACAACTTACAACATATTCAACATTGAGAGTTTTCAGAATTCTGTTTCTATGGAAATTTTTCAAGACCGATAATCCAAAAAAGCGAAAATAAATTTCTAGATCTTAAGTTTTTGGTAGAAATATTTAAAGATTATTGGCATCGTGGAGTAATGATTTTTTTAACCTACCAACCCGTACAATATAATCAAACTCGGCCTAACGACGTTAAGCGTGATGTAATATGGCTTAATAACTCATGCCTCTACTTAAAAGCTATGGGTTTTAATTCGTTCGTACCTTTAGTTAAAGAACAGCTCATGAGAAAGAGAATAGTAAATTTTATGAATCGGCCAAATGATACTTCGTACAAAAAATCTTATCTGAAAATAACAGAAATCATAAATATACATAGAAATGTCCCATCATAAAAAATGCCCATATTAAAACCCACCTAAGAAGAAGATTAAGATTGTTTACAAAGAATAGCTCATGCGAGAACGAATGGAATTTTTTAAATTATTCATTTAAATATGAATTATGCCTATCGCCCATTATGCCTAGCGTCCATTTTCCAACCATCCATTATGCCTTTCGTATTTATGCCTAACGTCGTGTACCCACCAGGATTTTAAGACCTCTTTTTCAGAACTTGGAACTCTGTTCTCTCTATTGGGGTCATATAAAGTTTCACTAAGAACTCATTGAGCTCCAGGAGTTTCTATCTAGGACATTACTGTCGTGAGATGAGAAAGTGACGAAAGCGCCACCATGTTCAATTTTCACTTTTCACCATATTAATGACACACAAAAACACTTAACACTTGCAAACAATTTGATTTTGAAGCAAAGTGGCAATGTGACACTAGCTACATATTTTCGGAGAATTAGTGAATGCTATTCAAATTATCTAAGTTAGGTTTTAGTCAACATTTATTAAAGTGGATTCATTCATACCTGACCGGTAGGACACAAATTCTTGGGAGAATTTTTAAGAATATGAAGTGAACGGTGCAGTTTTTTAAGCAGAAGCCCAATAATAATGTAGATGATCTCTGAAACGCGCTCTGAGTAAATTTTTGAATGATTTTAATTAAATTCTTCAGAGTTGCTATCCATATCTCAGACTGATCGGACGTTGTATCACCAGACAATACTTCCGAGCATCTTTTTTTGCGACGAGCGTGTGTTTTTTTTTTGCCATGCGGCCTTTAAGAGCAAATTGTGTCGTGTTAGACACATCAATTCTTCCGAAGCGACCGTGTATCTCAGATATTAAAAATTTCTTGGACAATCAGGTGCAGCTCGGCATGTCACTGGTGAAAAGTATTCAGCCCAGCGAATCCAAACACATAAAGCAACCAACGATACAGACAAAACGGTTGCTACGACTACCATGACAAACTCGCTCTGTAACAAAGCTCGATCCGAGTGGTAGAAGAATAATGATATATTGCTTGCCTGCTTTGTTGCAATATACACGGATGAGGACATAGCTTGATATGAATCGGGAAAAGACGTAACAAAAAAATTCCCATTAACACACGTGTATCATCTTCGGCTTTACTTCGTGAAGCAGCTTGCCAACAATTTGCTCGTTTCCTTCTACCGCCCCGAATGAGTCGGGTCGCACGAGCTGCTTGTCATGAAAAAGAACGGTGAAGATTATATCATTATTGTTTTCAACTTCTGACATAGCGTTATTATTCGGTTCGTTGATCGCTTGTTATTTTGTCATTTGGAGATATTTTTGATTCCTTGATCCAGCCACATAATGTCAAGAACGTTGTGTATTTTGGTATGAAAAGTGACGTAGTGGCAGAAAGAATCGCGTCAGCTCATCACCTGAAGCATTTCATGGAATACGAAAGGAAGAAGATCTTTATTTCAATTTACGTCGAGAGCAGTGCGGTCGACGTGCGCTTACATGATCTTCCGGACGACATGGATAATGTGGCTATCATTGATCATATGCGTCAGTATGGTGAAGTGATAGTCATTAGAAGCGAAGTCTGGAAGAGCTATTTTCCAGGCTTTAGTAATGGAGTGCGCGTTGTCAAAGTTAAGCTTACTCTTCCCATCCCGTCGTACATAACCGTCGACGACGAAATTACGATGGTATCCTACCATAATCTAATCTAATCTAATCTAAACTAATACAAACGCAGCCAGTACGAGAAAGCATCCTTGAAAATGATTAGGTTAGATGAGGTCTAATCATTTTTCTTGTCTAACTGATGTTTACAGCACATCTGAGATATGATATAAATATCAATACGGTCAGGCCTACTGCGTTGTATTTGCCACAAAGATAATTCTTGGAAATGAATGGGAACATTTCTTGAATCTACATTGGTGGAAGGAAGCGTGGACATACCGTACCAAACGCTCCGAGTTACTATGTGTAGTTGTGTGTAATGTGTAAATATTTGTACAATATTGAAGAATTATAAAATAATGCAATGGAAGGATCTTACCGAATTTTCTCCTATGTAAACACAAATTTGGACAGCTTTCACCATATTCTGCTCTTCCGCCGCCGTTAATTGCTTCCTTTGGAATCCCTTGGACCTTTCTCTAACGCTTCGTATTTCATTCCGTGCTTCACCGGCAATTTCCTTCCGTAGATCGTCCATGGTTGGTTGGTTCTAATATGATTCCGCCTTTTTTGGTCGGTTTGATGTCCACTATATGTTATTGAATTGCCATGGTGATCTGGGACGAGGCTCACGTCCAAAGTCGCTGGTCCACCGAGCGCTCCGTGAGCGAAGGGAGAATGAAAGAAATACGAAAGGGATCAGTTTCAAGAAGTGACAGTTTCATCAGATTCCCCAACTAACCATACTCAAGCAAAGTAAGAATATACAAGCTATATTGCGAC